AGGAAGTGATTTTTTTGGAGCATTGTCTGTTGCTGTTTTTATGCAGCTGCAGCTACACTTTGCTTACCCTTCCAGCGAGGAGGATGTTTTGCATTTTTTTTTTTTGCTAGACGGGATACAACCCACGGGGCTTCCCTCACGGAAGAACATTATGTAAGCAAGCCCCTGGTTTTATTTCCTGGTGAACGCCCCTCCGAGCCCTCGGGATTGAGGGGTGGTGTGACAATCTGCCAGGGTCGGGATTCCCTGGGGCGGTGAGCGGTGACCTCGCTTTGGAATTGCCCTCCGATTTGAGTGTAATCAGCCTGCATCTTTTTGCCTGGGCGCTTGCTCACAAGAACAGCATGGTCTTCCTATTATATGTGTGTAGAAGGTATCATTAACCCATGTTTGGGGAGAGAAGGTTTGCGAACAGAGCTTCATTATCAGATTTAGAGCCACATACCATTCCGGTATTGACTTGCCTGACGTAATCAATGCAGCAGGCACACATGTTGGGAATTCATGTGCTCGGCCGCTGGACCGTACGCCTCGCTGCTAGTGCTGATTGTGCATTATCTTTTTAAGTGACACCGCCTAAATAAGTATGGATCTGCTGAGCACCCACAGCCCTCGGCTTTGGCGGCAGAATGCTAACCCTCTCGTGTTTTCCTTCTTGGGAATAAAAAAAAAAAATCTCTGCACCGAAGATGAGCAAAGAAATTGCAGTTAAAGGCCAAGAAAATGTGTGGCTCTACAAGTGTAGATGCGTGGATGCATTGCAGATATAGGGTGTAATGCCTCACATAACCCCACGCTCTTGTGCTTCTGAGGCGGGCCGGCTTGTTGCACCGTGAGGTGCTTGAAATGGATCGAGGAGACAATGGAATATCTGCATTGTTGTGATTGAAATGAGTTGAGCAGGGAGCACGTGTAACGATTAGCCATTCTGCACATGAGCAGAAAGGCCAAAAAAAAGAGAGCTTCCATCAGGAACTGCTTGCAATGCCCAATCAATGTTTATGATTTAAGAGATGTTGGGAAATCGGCACGCATTAACAGCATAAATGGGATTTCATGTACTACCAGACAGACCCAGGCAAGAAGCTGCCTTAAATGCCATCAAGCATTTTCTCTTGTCTCCTTCAGCCAACAGCACAGAGTTTGCCATCCCACCTTCTGTCTAACTAGAGGTTGAGCCTGACCGTTTCTCCACCGTCACCAGTGTTTCTGTGCATTCTCTTTTTCTCTTTCTTTGGGTTGTTGTTTTTTTTTTTTAACTCAAAAGAAACTTTTAAGGGACTGGCGAAAACCCCCAGAATGGTCCAGGTTAACAAGATCAGAAAGGCAAGAGGGGAAGACAAACAGGGAAGGGGGGTGAACTGTAAATGTTGTGTATGACTTAAACTGGAACAGCCAAACTTGGAGACTGGCAAGAGGGATCGGCAACCTGTGGTCCTCCAGAGGTGGTCAGATTCTTAATTTCCATCCCTACAGTCACCGGCATCAATGCTGAGGAAGAGGCCGCTTGTAACCCAGCAACATTTGAAGGCCTTGCAGTTTCTCCGTCCAAGTTGCAACACTGATAGGAAGACTGTGATTCTTTGTAGGAGGGTGGGTTTGGGGGGAAGAGCACAGGGCAGAGGACCCCTCACTGCATGGAGTGGAGACCCCCCATCTTCCTCCCCTCACTCAAAACCCATTTTTCTCATCCACTGACAACATCTGTAACACCAAAGGGTATTCATCCAGTTTAGAGGATGTGTTTATACGTACAGTATGTGACTTGTTTTGGATGGGTGTTGCCTGATTGACTAACAACAAAAGCTATAACGTAAGGTGGCTGTTGGCTCTCCGACCTGCCTTGCGCATGCTTCTATAATGTTCTCCTTCCTGTTTTCATGTGCTTCGATTATTCTCAAGCTTTCCACACACTAAACTACCAGCTCTGCACTTACCTCCAGTTCTGGACCACAGTGTTCATCTACAGGTTCAGAGTTGATTTATTGCTATAGGGACTTAAGCCAGCCCATCTGGCAAGGTCGTATATCTGCTCGTGGACTTCCCTGGGCTTTCCCATCTTCCTCCACCCACCCTTTCAAAATGTGTCTGTGAACAATCGTAGATTGTAATCCATTTCCTCAGAGGAGAAATCTTACGTCCAAAGAAGTGAATTGCAGCCTGCAAAAGTGCACGTGGAAATAAACCCTGTTGACTTATAAAAGTGCCATAATTTTGTTTCTATATATTCGCGAAGGCTTTCACGGCCGGGATCTAATGGTTGTACTGCCTTCCTCTTCTGTCTCCTTCTTGCCCTGTTTGGTTTTCTCTTGCCTCCAATCAGTAGAAAAGAGATCAGGATCAGTAGAAAGGAGGAGGTAAAAGAGGAGAAGAGATTGACCCCTCCAGTCTCCCATTCTTTCTGGCACAAACTAGTGGGGATCCACCTCCACCCCCCCACCCAGCAATTGTTCTGTAAAGGGTCTGGTGTAAAAGGAAGAAGCTTAAATTTAGTTAGTGGCAGCATTAACAAATTTCGTTTTCTGCAGAGATTTTTTTTTACATTATTATTTATTATTTTATTTTATTTATTTAACTTTTATGCCGCCCACACTACCCTAAAGGTCTCTGGGCGGCTTACAACAATTAAAATACAATTAAATATATACTCTAAAAATTGCCATCAGGACCCACAGTTGATATTATTTCAATTAAAAGCCACCTGGAACAGGAAGGTTTTGACGTGGCGTAGTTGTAGGAAATCATGAGCAATCCACTCTGCCTGCGGAGCGAAAGGTTGGGAGTTCAAGTCCTCCGCTGGGCCTCCGTGACAAGGGCTGGACATGATGATCCATAGGTTGTAGGAAATCATGAGCGAAAGGTTGGGAGTTCAAGTCCTCTGCTGGGCCTCCGTGACAAGGGCTGGACGTGATGATCCATGGGGTCCTTTCGAATTCTGCAGTTCTAAGATGATGATGATGAAGAAGAAGAACTTCTCATTCATCTACTCTGTAGTTTTTGGTGGAATTGTTAGGCCGTGTAGGAGCACCTCTTCTGTTGTTGCTTCATCTCTTCCACCTTTAATGGCAAAAAAAACCTGAACAAGACATTATTTTTCAAACAGCAGTGGGCTCTGCCTTTTCTCTTGAAGCCTTTGTCAGGTGGTGTGCGGAAGAATGAGCATCACTGGGCATAAGTTCATAGGAAAAACCACGGGCCACAATGCTGCTAATAACTTTGACATGGTTTAGAAATGCCACAGCTTTTCTGACACCTGGCGGTCACTCCGGAGAAGTACGCGGCTCATCAGCTATTGTACCAAGTATTTAAATGGGGTCATTGCTACCTCCAGAGAGAAGGCCTGCAAATGGAGCTTCCATTAGTTAAATGTTGCCACCAGACAATTTTCGTAAGACCGATGTCATCTCAGTAATAGAGGTTTCTGGAGGGTTCTTCCTGCCTCTTCTGGCAGACAGATTAACTTAGGGCTGCTTAGGAGGAAGTAGAAGACTGCTGGAAACTTAAAATGTTCTGTACTTGCACGACTAAAGGATCGGAGGCAGAAATGCCATGCCCATTGATTCGGATTGCATTGCAAATTAATTTGCATCTCGTTGTGAGGGAAGCACTTCTTCTACGGGTGAACCTTAGGTAGGGAAATCAAAATAATTAATTACCTAAGATGAAAAAGAAACTGCTTTCACCCTGCAACACAAAGACCAGCAGGGACCCTCTTGTGGGAAGCTCACAAATATGAGCCCCACCCCTCCCTCTGGAACGGACTGAGGATCTAGTAACGGTGGCCAGCTTGTTCCACTGAGTTTAGCAGCCACACATTTCCTCCAAATTGCAAATGTGGACAGGCAGGGCGTTTCCACTCCAAACAACCAACCTTGCCCACAATTGCCGGTTATGATCCGGGCAGCCTTTTTGCCTCCCAAAATTGAAGAGGGCTGGCCAGTTGTGGAGTCTTTGCCATGAGTTGGGAAGGCGACTTATGTCCTTTGATGGGTCATTGAGAAAAGCTCTCTGTTTAAAAGCGGGGAGGGGGGGATGGTGTAGCAGCCACGGCGCTCCCTACAAAGTATGTGCGGTTTTCAAAACATCTCCAGCACTTCCAGGACTGGGAGATTCCAGACGCCATCCCTCAGGTGCCCGTAACTCTGAGACACAACTTCCGTTTGCATTAGACTGAATATGCAACTTCTGCATTGCATTAGGATTTATTTAGCCTCCTGACAAATGACAGACAGGATGTCTGAGCGGTAATGCCTCCCTTGAGGGGTCTGGCTGCCGCTCCCTTTATGGAGGGAGAGAAGCTAATTGCCAGGGGTGCGCGGTAAATGTTCTCCTTTCCCCAAGACCGAGCCATTGCGTGCGGTCCAGCCACCCTTTTCCCCAGCCGGTCTTTTAACCCCTTTCTTCCGCAAAACGCAGAGTGGGCAGAATAGGTTTGACGCTTCCTGTGGTCTTACAAGACTGGTGCTCCTGTTGCTGAAGTCTTCCTCCAGCTGTCAGGTGCTGGTGTCCGTGATCAATCTGTCTCCTCTTTTGGCCAAGACCTTCTATCCATGCTAGGTGGGAATAGAGAGATGGTGAAGGGAAGGCGCCCATCTTAATAGTTCCAGTGAAGGAAGTCCCGAAAGGCGCACATCTTCACCGACTGCTCCCGTTTTGCCAGGATGTAGCAAAATTCTCACGGCATGGCACCCCTTGGGCTCCCTGTATTTTGTTTCATTGTGCTTTCCTCTCTCTCTCTCTCTCTCTCTCTCTCTCTCCCCTTAAGTTCATGCCAGCATTAACAGATCTATCAGTTCAAAGTAAATGTGTCACGTTGGCAGCTGTTACTTAGCCGCATTTTCTCTCCCCCCCCTTTTTTTTCTTTATTGCATTTTGTTCTGTAATAATTGCAGAGCTTTTATGTTGGGTTCTGCATAAATGCGACTGAGTAGGAGGGTACGGGCTTGCTTTCTATTATTCTGCCCCTCACGCACGTCTCCTTTTCCCCATCTTTTTTCCAGAACCACACGTTGAGCCAGCATGCTCAGTGAGCCCCTGGCACTACAGGACATCTCTCTGCAGAAGACTTGACGGAAGCTCAGTAGGGAGGACCATTTGAACATTACATCCAATCAAAGTGTCATTTGCAACCCAGATGTAAAACTCTAATGATTTGGCCATGAGGCGCTGCTATTATAAGCAGCTGGAAATGAATATTAATGGAAGAGATTAAAAGTATTCCATGCGCAGTATTTTTTATTGTCCTGCTCGAGCTTAGTGTACTTTAAAGCTTCTGCTTCTGACTGGATTTATAGTTGCTAGATTGGAAGCTGCTTTGATGCTCCTGCCCTTTGTTGCTTCTTGTATTATACGGATAGTTCAAGATTTAGAAGTGATTTTTCCCCCCTTTCTTTTCTGTCCTTTTGTTTATTTTGTTTTTTTTTTGTTTTTTTTTAGTTCTTTCCCTGTTTAATTGCTTTTTAATTGCAATTTTAGGTAATTGTGCATCGTGATGTGATGGCTTGGCTATTGTCTGAATATATTTTTTTTTACACTTTTTGGGTTTTTTTAAAAAAACAATTAAAGACTAATGCTTTGATTGGATTTGCCAGTTCACCGGACAGTGATTTAAAAATAAAAAATAAAAACCTATGTAATGAATATCATCGGTTTCAGTGCAACTGGATGGTCTGCTTTATAAATGTGACTTAATCTGATTGCATTAACTAATACCGTTTAATAAAGGGAATACCTTGGACAAGCACTGAAGTCTCAATCTATCCTCTGATTTGGGTGTTGTTTCCTGTGTACAGTATCATCCATCAGATGAGAAATATTTCTTAATCCTAAAGCTTTTACTACCTAAATCTCTGGCCCATAAAACATTGCAGTGGGGAAAGTCAAACTGGATGCATCAAGATTGGGTAAGGAATCATCTGTCCTGATGGTGGAATGATTTCGTTTAATGTATCTTAAACCTCATCAATCTCTTCATTTCAGGGAGTTAAAAGTGGGGAACTCTTTGATTCTGAAGACATCATACAGGGGAATGTTTTGTAGTGCATGGAGACCCAACTCCCAGTGGAATTCCCTCTCTTGTATCTGTTTTTGCGAAGTACATAACATTTTTTGTAAAGCAAGGCTGGGAACACAGGCCATGCTAATGGATGATGGGAGTTGTCGTCAAGTGATGCATCCAATAGGCTACGCATTATGCACACTTCCCTAAAGACTTTAATCCTCAAAGTCCTATTATTTTAACAGACATAGCACACATCCTCCTGTATACTATCTATTCAAGTGTTATGGGTGTGTGTGTGAGAGAGAGAGAGCTGTAAGCAACAACAGATGGTAGACCTCAGCCAAGTGAGACAAAATCAGCACGTTTGATCTATGAAGAGCACAATTCCATTTTCCAGATGATCCGATGATGTTTTTTGGGTTGGTAACATGGAGCAGTTCCTGCCACCGGGATTTTTCGAAAGGCACTCTTGAGAATCCTCAAACTGTCTCCTCCGAAAAAAGGACTGGTTTTCAAAGTGTAAGTGGGTTAAACTCTGCATATTAGGATTGGGAATGCATGCTTTCGGTCTGCCTGGAACCAGCTTGGCATTTGCAAGTTTTTAGGCAAATGGGGAAAGAACGCTAATCCCTCACACTCATGTGTGTGTCAGAAGCCAGTAGGATTTAAAATGGGATGAGGAGTGTCTGTGTTTTGGGCCTCTTGCCCTACAGACCCAGAGATATGCTGCTGATCTCTGCTGTCACAAAATGTGTTTGGATTTTGAGTTTGGTTTTTTAGGTCTTTGATTTAACAATAGTGCTGGTCATCGAACTCAAGGGCCAAACTGTCGCCTGGCGAATGAAATTAATCAACTGGCAAGAGGGTTCACAGATCACCTGTTTATCATTAATCTTGCATCTTCAAAAATGCCTATAGTCTTGCTGGTGGGAATTGCAGGCAAAACAACGCCCTGGCGCCCATTTTTAAAGAATAATGTATACAAAGACAATTAAGAGAATGGACTTGAGGAACATGTATGTTACCGGCCTGTCGCCTGTGTCTTTTCTGCTTCCCACAAGGCGCTTTCCTCAGAGAGATGAACCAGGGCAAAGACTGCCTCGTTTACCTCCCATTGGCTGGTCCCAAAACAAAGCCCCCCTGAATGCAAAATATTTGGGGCTGAGTGGCAGCAAAGGCTACAAGAAACTGGCTGCCAGGACTTAAGGAAGGTCTGCTTCTGATGACATGTTAACTGTATCATATGGAAAGAACCCAGTTTGCCTCCTGCTCCCATCGTCCTCTAAGAAACAACGCAACACCAAAGCGAGTGCCAATGAATGGAGAGGCGAGAGCCAGAGAGAGACCTTAGTTTTGTGTAACAAATCAAGAGAGGGCACAATATGTGCACAATACATGTATTTATTTGTCTTTAAAAATAACACCTGACCAGTGGTAAATATAGGCTGAGGGGGGATATCAAAACTTCAGAAGGTATTCTTGGTGATTGTAGTATGTGTGTACACTTTCACACACACATCGCACAATTCCATAAGGAAGCCACACACTTATGCTTTCCACTTAACCATTCAGTACTGGATACAACAGAGGCTCATCCAAGGAACTATTGCCATGGGCTCTCCCACACAGCCGTTGAAGCCATCTTTGAATCACCTTCTTTTTTGGCTAATGTAAGTTGCAACTCGAACGGGCCATTTGAACCCATGCAACTTATGAAGGAGTTGACTCACCAAATCCTCACTGATTCAGTGGGCCTCCTCTAGTGTGACTTATTACACTGAGCAACAAGATTTCAGCAAATGTATGTGCAGCAATTCAAACTTCAGAAAATATGGCTTAAATCTAATTATTAGTCCCGATTAGCATAAACCAATTGAATGAAAGGGATTTGTTAATTACTTCCGTTAAGTCCCATTGATCCTTCCATCCTATTCTATTTGAGATTAAGAACTGGATTTAGCTCCATGGATTAGATGCAGCTGCAGGTTGGATCCGGCCATTTCCCAAGATCTGGGAAGGTTAAGTTTGGGGTTCCCCAAACATGGCCAAATTTCCCTTTGCATATATAACAAAGGAAATCTTTTTAAAGCACCCCCCAAAAAAGGGTTACAAACTTTTTGGAATGGGGAAGAGCTGTGAGGGGCGTCAAAGGGGCCACATTTACTGAAGGGGTTTCTGGAAGGGCAGTATGTGACCCATGGCTCACACGCTGTCCATCTTCTAAAACTTTGTAAATATATATATTTTAAAGAATGGATCCAGTAAACAGCAGCTGTGTTTTAAATCTCTTACAAGCAGCTTTTTTGTCTGCTTACATGACTCACAGCTGTATATAACATATGGAAGAACTTGTTCTCTAAAGCTGGTGTTACCTTTAGTAGTCAAGTGATAGGGTATGATCTACGATTTGGAGATACCCGTATATAATTTCGGTTTTTTAAACTGCCCCATGTGTTTTGATCTGCAAATGTTTGCCCCTTGGAATTGCAATAACCTTTTGTTGTTGCCAGCAAATGTTTGATTGATCAGTTATTAAGCCTGCAGTCTTGTGTCCAAATTTTCCTTGAGTATCACAGAAACAAGTTGGATTTCCTTCTGAATAACAATACACAGAATTACACTGTAGTGCAACACTGTAAGCACCGAGAGTTAATGAGTCCTGTAGAATTCCATGAGATCGGCTTCAACATGAATTAGCTGAATAACGTGTTGAGTTTCCTCTAATTATGGCATTGGCTGGTCTTTCCTCCTGTAATATTAGGGTGGAAATAAAGTTTCACCCAAACACAGATTGAGGAGAGCTTCGGATCTGGGCCTAATGCATTGTTCCAAGTAAAATCTATGGACAAGAACTGTTCTATATCCTGACCCATACGTATGTTCATGGAATCGAAGAAACTGCCACAGAGATCGGATGGGATGCCAAATATGTGTGTGATTTAAAGATGGCCCCATCTGCTGGTTTCATGGTTCGCACCAGTTTGATGATGGCCCAAAAAGTGTTCTGCTATTTGGTGCCCTGCCCCCTCCAGTGGGCGTCCACTCGGAGGCCGCACCCCAGATCCTCCAGGCACGGCCTTTCAATGGGCACCTGACTGAGGGGGTGAGGCATCAAACCATGGAATGTCTGTTGGGGCATCGTCCGAACTGGCACAAACCAGCGATTCATGCCCATCTCTAGTGCGGTTCCATACAACCAGCACCTCATCCAATCTTTGGTGGCAGCTCCTGCAGTTGGAGCTCAATAATAATAAGAACAGCAACAACAAACAACAACCCCATAGTCATTGGGACTTTGGGAACAATAACAAGAAACTTCACCCACGGATCTGGGCCTAATGCATTGTTCCAAGTAAAATCTATGGACAAGAACTGTTCTATATCCTGACCCATACGTATGTTCATGGAATCGAAGAAACTGCCACAGAGATCGGATGGGATGCCAAATATGTGTGTGATTTAAAGATGGCCCCATCTGCTGGTTTCATGGTTCGCACCAGTTTGATGATGGCCCAAAAAGTGTTCTGCTATTTGGTGCCCTGCCCCCTCCAGTGGGCGTCCACTCCGAAGCAGTGCCCAGAGGAGGCGGGTCAAGGAAGCCAGGACGTTGCTTCTGAGTGGGTGCATGCTGGAGGGGGCAGGACTCTGAACCACCATATACCAGTTGTGGCGATAAACGAACCGGGATGAACCGCCAAACTGGCAGTTCGTGCCCATCTCTGGCTGGAAACAAACGTGGAGGTCACAAAGAGTGTCGGCCTCAGCATCTGCCTGGATTGGATGCGGTCCCCAGCCTTTTAGAATATAACTCTGTTGTGCCCGGCCCCCCGTGGCCCAAAAACTGCTATTTGGTGCCCTGCCCCCTCCAGTGGGCGTCCACTCGGAGGCCGCACCCCAGATCCTCCAGGCACGGCCTTTCAATGGGCACCTGACTGAGGGGGTGAGGCATCAAACCATGGAATGTCTGTTGGGGCATCGTCCGAACTGGCACAAACCAGCGATTCATGCCCATCTCTAGTGCGGTTCCATACAACCAGCACCTCATCCAATCTTTGGTGGCAGCTCCTGCAGTTGGAGCTCAATAATAATAAGAACAGCAACAACAAACAACAACCCCATAGTCATTGGGACTTTGGGAACAATAACAAGAAACTTCACCCAGTATTATAAAGCAGTTGCAGATCACACCATCAGAGCTACAAAAAATGGCAATATTAGAAACAGCATACACGCTGCACTGACATTTAACAGATACCTAGGTTTTTCGTTAAAACTCGTATCTGTTATGTAATACCAGATAGTTTTGATTGACTATGCCGGGTGTTTTCAACAACAACAACAACAACAACAACAACGATGATGATGATGATGATGATGATGTTTCATCCAAACTGTTCTTTTCTATGGCAACCCTTTCCAG